AGAGGTGAAGGAAGGAAAGAAGGAAGCCTGGCCCTGAACCCCAAATTAGGGTCCAGTGTGAGGTGGGAAGATCAGGTGAGCTAGTTCTAAAAACTGTATGTTCATGGAGGGCCTGGTCAATTCACCATGGTAAAGGTGATGGAGGACCGAAGAGGCTGGACACCTGAGGAATTTTCAGGGAGCAGTTTTGTTGATTGCAGGATCCAGAGGGACTGTCACCCAAAGCATTTTCTGGACCAAGAGTCTAGAAATTCTTTGGAATTTATACTCAATATATATATATATATATATATATATATATATATATATATATATATATATTTGGTGAGGGGCTTGGAGGTTTACATTTTGGCAGAATCTACATAAAAGTAATTTTTTTCTTTGAGTTTTCAGAAAATTTTGCTCTCTTTCTTTCTCTCTCTCTTGAATAATCAGAGGTTTTACACATTTTACCACAAAAGCAGGAATAAATCAGAAAGTCAAGGGTTAAACTTGGCTCTTGCATGACAGAGCAATAGGAAATAGAAATTTCTAAACACACTGAGCTTTTTTGCAGAAATCTGATATTTTGCTGATATTCTGTTAACAAGAATAATTATGGTGACGGTCTTCTGGGTGGGGGTCTCTGGCCTGCTTCAAAGGAAGATATTTTGTGGAGGCAGAGACATGGGAGGAAAGAAAAGATGAAGACAAAGACACTTTCAATCAGAGGGAAGAGAATTGTCCCCAAAGATGCACTAATTTGATCTAGCTATCAACTCTTGAGGAATGAAGGAAACACAGAAAGATTTGTTTCAGGAAACATTATTTATCAATATTAACTCTTTCCAGTTTCTTAGATACTAGTAAGTAAGCAAAAACTGACTTTCCCAAAGGAGTATATGCATTTTCCATATGGATCTAATTTATTCCCAGTAGGTCCCACAGGGTGATAACAAATTCAACCATAGTTCTCTGAGAGAGAACTGGAGGCAGAGATGTCGATGCTGACTTGAGAACCAAAGAGCCACAGGAAATACTTGCATCTTCACAGATGAAATGTAAATGTAAAAAATGGTCTTTGATTTATCTTCTCAGAGATACATGACATTGTTTGTTTCTGAGCGGGAATTAGATGTGCTAATTTTTTTTTTACACTAGAAGTAGGTCGAGAAACAACTTATGATTCTAAATAAATATCAGGGAGAGGTCCCCACCATACCCCAAAGGCATGAAAGTTTATCAAATACATTTCATGGACTATTTCAATCCCAAATCTACTCAGGCGAATGATTTTACCTTTGAAAGTTTACTGACTTCCCGTTTGCTTAATTCTTTTGAAGCTCACTGTTCCCAAATATTTCACTGATAGGTTTTTGTCCTGAGATTTTTGACAAGAACTTGTCATAAGAACTATTTTTGGCAGCTGCGTTTTTCAGCTTATGAAATAAGAAAGGTTGGTATAAAATTTGAGTCTTAGCTGGAGGGTAATCCTGCCCTTTCTAGAACTATATAACAAAAATCTTGACTCGAAAAATGAAATACCACAGGTGATCTGATCTTCACTTTTTCTAACCAAAGCATTGATATTAGTCAATATGTTCTCATAATGACATTTGGGATATGTAAGAAAAAGCTAGAACATAAAATAATTCCCATGAAGTAACTTCTTAGTTTGATCTTATGCTATAATATATCAAAATCAATTATATTAGGGCTAGAGGTATAGTTCAGGAATAGAGTGCATAATTAGTGTTCAGAAGGGCCTAGACTCAATCCCCAGGACCAAAATAAATAAATATTTTATGACAAGGATTAAGCACTAGCCAGGTGTGGTGGTGCGTGCCTGTAATCCCAATGACTCAGGAGGCTGAGGCAGGAGGATCCTGAGTTCAAAACAAGTCTTAGCAACTTAGCTACGCCCTAAGCAATTTAGCAAGACCCTGTCTCAAAAGATAAAAAGGGCTGGGATGTGGCTCAGTGATTGAGTGCCCCTGAGTTCAATCCCTAGTATGTGTGAATAGATCCATCGATTAATCGATCAATCAAGGACAGCATAGAGATACAAGCATACCCATGTTTATAGTGGTGCAATTCTCAATAGCCAAGTCATGGAACCAGGCTAGGTGTCTGCAAATGGGTGAATGGATAAAGAAAATCTGACACACACACACACACAAAATGGAGTTTTATTCGGTCATAATGAAGAATGAAATTATGTCTTTTTCAGGAAAATGGGTGGAACCGGAGAGCTTCATGTTAAACAAAAGAAATCAGACTCAGAAAATCAAGGGGGTATGTTTTCTCTCATATTTGGAACATAAAGAGAAAAAAAAAAAAGAAAAAAAGGTGATCTCGTGAAAACAGGAGGGAGATCTGTAGAGTAGAGGAAGGAGATTAGGGTGAGGGAGGTGGTGAGGAGAAGGGAAGTACTAGAATTTGAAATTGACCAAATTATGTTATGTGCATGTATGAACTTGCCACAATAAAATCTACTATTCTGTATAATTCTGTATGGCTTCAAACTTGTGATCCTTCTATCTCCCAAGTACCTGGGATTAGACATGTGCACCACTATACCCAGCTTTTTTCATTTGTTCTTTTTAGATATATATGATAGTAGAATGTACTTTCAATACATACTTGCAGTATAACCTCCCATTCTTGTGGTTGTACATGATGTGGAATTATACTGGTCATGTACTCATATATGAACATAGGATATTTTTCATTTTTAAATGAAGTGAGACCAGTTTCAATGCACAAGATTGGATTCTTTGGAGGATACTTTTTTCTTTTTCAGATCTTTGTGCCTATTTAGTGGTATATATTGTTAAGACGCTTACACATAAACAAGCTTTACCTGATCCTCTCAACAGCCCTGTACTGTAGGCAAATGGATGGAGCTTAGAAAACAAAAAATGGAAGAACACAGAGGTTAATGACGAACCCCAAGTTTTTGCATTTGGTTAATGTCAAAACTGCAACCACAGTTTGTTTCTGATCTTTCAGGATCGAAGGTGTGTAGTAAATGTTCTTTAATTAATTCATACATTTATGCCAACAAGACAGATTTTAATGATTAAACAATTTCATTTAAAATAAAATGTCCTTTCTATTTTTGTGACCTCAGAGCTGAAGAAATGTCATGGGGTTCTTAATGCAGAACTTCCTTTCAACCATCCAATGAAGTTAACATTCTGGTTCAACCAACATCAACGTTAAGTTTATCAATGTACTAATAGGTATTGTAACCTTTCATCCATAAAGTACAACCAAGAGTATAGATAGGAAAGCTGTATGGAGATTTTAAGAGCCAAACTTTTGCATAAATACACTTATTAAGCAAGTGAAACAAAGAGTTATTATAGATGTATAATCAATAACTTATCCAAGTGTTTATTCCATTCATACATAATTACTGTGATGTCACCTATAAAAATAGCATAGGCGTTAATTGGGTGTCATTTGTATCAAAGAGTGAAAATACCAAAACTAACTAACTTGTTAGCAGACATGAGAAAGTAAATTCCTCAGATTACAGAGAAATTTTCAAAAAACAATGACAATGCCAAAATCAGTTAAAAAAGACATTCCTTGTTTGATGACAAACTATTTAAAGCAGCAAAGCCTGCCTGTGAACTGTGGTATATATACACAATGGAATATTACTCAGCAATAAAAAACAATAAAATCATGGCATTTGCAGGTACATGGATGGAGTAGAAGATAATGCTAAGTGAAGTTAGCCAATCCCAAAAAACCAAATGCCGAACGTCTTCTCTGATATAAGAAGGCTGACTTATAGTGGGATAGGAAGAGGGAGCATGGGAGGAACAGGTGAACTCTAGATAGGGCAGAGGGATTGGAGGGGAAGGAAAGGGGCATGGGATTAGAAATGATGGTGGAATGTGATGGTCATTATTACCCAAAGTATATGTATGAAGACATGAATTGGTATGAATATACTTTGTATAGAACCAGAGATATAAAAAAATTGTGCTCTATATGAGTAATAAGAATTGTAATGCATTCTTCTGTCACATAAATAAAAAATTATTTTTAAAAAAGAGGTAAATAAGGACTAAAGTAAAGCTACTGACTTATGAACTCTTAAAAAAGTGGTTCTTATCAACAAAAAGTTCTAAAAGCAGTGTCCTAAAGCAACCATTTATTAGTAAAAAGCATTCTAAACATATTCTTGACCTGTAAATTGTAACTGTAAAGCTATACACACAAAAAAATTAAGTCTTGGACAAGAAATTTACCATATTGTCTTAGTTGATGATTTTCATCACTCCAAACTAGATAAATTAGATTGCATATTTTCAGACAATTTATTTCACACAAATACTTAGCTTCTTGTTTAAGCATGTCAAAGTTTGATCACTGTTTGATCATAAATAAAGGCACAAGTGATGTTCTCCTCTGAACCCTTCCCATTCCTCTATATTCTGGACCTGCCTGAAATATCCTGTTGCTAGTCCGCCAACATGAACAAGTGATTTAAATTAAAAAAAAATAAAAATAAAAATAAACCTAAATTAAGGGTTTACAGCTTAATAATCAACCTTCCTTTGGAAAAGTATTTAGTCTTAAACAGTTCACTTGTTACTATTCCAAAAGAAGTTTGGCTTTCTGGATGAGATTTCACTCATTATTTCTTAAAGACTACACACCTACTAACTAATTTCAGTGGAATCTGTTCTTCATAAATTGATAGGCCCCTTTCACATCAGTATATGCTTGCTGGATGCTGGGTATCAGTTTTTAAGAAATATATTAGGAATCATACACACACCACATCAGAGGGACAGACTTTCATCTAACCAAACATCCCAAGAATTTGAGACTATTGTTTTCATGAAAAAATATTTTAACAACACAGGAACATATTGTATAATAGTTTTATTTTTCTCATTTTACTATTTTTACATTTTATCCACAAATATTTATCTGAGTAAAAATAGAAAATAACTGTTTTATGTAAAATTACAAAAAAACCACAAAGAAATACATAATTGTTATTATGATAGTATAAGTGTCTTTATTTAAAGAGTAAAAATGTATGCAAAAATCTTCCTTCCTTTTACAAAAGATTGAGAATATTTTTTTCCTGGCAATAAGTGAAATATTGAAGTGTTAATATTTTTATACCCTTTAGATCTGAAGACATTGTTAGTCACAGGTTTGTTTTGCAGTTATGAATTTTAAAACATTTTTGTGCTATTTCAAGGATATACCTGTTCTTTATATGAGGCAATAGCATAAAATGAATGCAAAAAATAGCAGACCTCACCAAAAATATTTAGAGGCACAACCCTTTAAAAGAATTTTATTAATGAGTATCACCATTAATCTGGGGAGAAAACAACTAAAATTTTTTTCCTAACTAATTTACATGGATCGATATCAAATGGATATGGGATCAGTTGACTCAAGTGAAAAATGCCACACTTAGCAATTATGCTTAATTTGTTTGATTTTTCCAGCACCAACACATTAGACTTTCAGGCTTCAGGCTAGTAAGATACATATGAGAGTTGACTCTATGGAATATAAGTTTTTAAACATAAGTGAACATTATTCTTGTACTTTAATAAGGTACAGAAAAATGATCCAACAATTTTATGTCTTCCTTTGAATATATCCTACATATGAAAACTTCATAAAATAAAGAATAGCATGAATTCTATTTTCTTTCACAAGTTGTTTTTTAATAGAGAAAAAGACTACTCAATTGTTAACTTAATAAAGACAATGGAATATTTTATATACAAGTTGACACAAGTAATGGAAGCTTCTTGAATCAGTTGGAGAAATCAGTCACATTACTTATGTTATGGTGCACAAAATGGTGAAGAAAAAAGAAACAGCATCAGATCATGTATGAGACCTGTTCACATTACGATGAACAGTAAGAACTGCCAAAAGAAGACAGCAGATAGACTGTAGTTTTTAAACCCTAACCTCCAAATCTTATAGGAGACAAAAAATAAATCTGATTTTAGGGATCTAGAAAAATGTATTTCCTGACTTTAAAACATACATATAAAAATGAGACATAAACAAAGTCCGTCCTCTTGGCTAAAAACTTTTAACATAATGTCTCAAAAACGTTTTAAATCTAAAAGTAAAGTTTTTAAGCTCCTAATTTAACAGAACAGTATACTTTATTACTTTTTAAAACAGTAAATGACCTGTCAACTCCCTAGGCTGTAAGACGAGACAAAACGTTCTTTATAGATACCTATTTGTTATCTGACATTAGGGCTTCTGTATTTCATTTTGTTATTCCACTCAGATATTCTTCAAATAATAGTGTCCACATTCCAAGAATAACTTGTCAGTCTACTGTTTATAAAACAGTAAAAATGAAAGGTACAAATTTTACTATTTTTTAGGTATTTTTGCAGAATATTAAAGGACTTCATACAAAATAAATGAATATGGGTTGCAGTCCTTTAAAACAGCTAAAATTGTGATTTAAGGTTACCAAAAAAGTAGAGCAAGAGATTTATCTTCCTGTCTCTAGGATCCCTACTTCCTGACTCATTCCAAACCCTATGTAGTATTGGTAGTACCACCTGGCCTGTTATTACCACAGCCCTTTCTTCCTACTTTGTCAACAATAGATATTAAGTGAGCTCTTCTGAGCCTATTTTGGGGAATGAATTTAAATGAAATTTACAAGGAAGAAGGTGTATGAAGTATCTGAGGATCAACTTGCTCCTGTCAAAAAAGCTATTTGCCAGTCTCTCTTATCATGATTCATGAATAATTCCTTAAAACAAACAACAAAAAGAAAAGAAAGGAGACTTTTCTAGCCATTTCTGTTTAGTGTTAGCTCATAGTAAGGAAAGATTTGTTTAAACATTTTAAAATAAATTATTTAATAAATTCCCTTTTGAATATCTTTATGCCTTCATATACATGTGCATATGTCTAACGAAGTCAACTGGACATGTATATGGATATTTGTACATAACACACAAAAATTAAAAGTGGGAAGTTTCATTTTAAAGACTGCCTAAATAATGGAGGTTAAATTTTCCTTTTGTAACTATCTGCAAGTAATTTACTAACTTTTTAAAAGGTAAAGTACTGCTATCTGATTTAAAGTCTTCATTTCATCAGAAACACAGGAATATATAAGCTGCTTTGCATAATAAATGAGCACTGTAGATTAATTAAAAAAAAAGAAAGTCACATCAAATCAAACTTTTATTTTCTGGTTGAGGTATATTTTCTCAGTTTTTTTAAATCTCTGACAGGAAAAACAGAGATCATTTCAGAATTTTTATAAGAGTTGGTTTATTAGAATTAAATGCCTCCTTCAAAATAATTTAAATTCTTGGTCTGACATAATGAATAATCTATACAGAAAACCCTTAACAATGGCTTGAGTTAAGCCAGATTTAAACCTGGATCTCCTTCTTTAGCATTGCTCTTTGCTAGTCAACTTCCTATTGTCCTTTACTTGCAAATATATAAATTACCTTAATAACCTGATACTCTTAGCTTAGTAATTTATTAATATTATTATAATTTTATTTGATTTGAATATTTTAGCTCTGCTTGATTAGATGAAACAGGCACACATGCTTTAGCTGAGAAATCTATTTTCTGGTTCTATGTAAAGCAACATCTAAAGCAGCAGAGAGAGGAAACAGTTATATTTTCAAAAATAGTTAAGCCAGACTGCTTCCTGGAGTACTTCATTTATGTTTCATCTTCAGATGCTACTGGTTATTTTTGGTAGGGCTAGACATTAATACTGACCAGTTTGGCTTTCCTGTTAACAAACTATCCCACAATGAAGCTGCTTTCAAGCGTATAACATTGTGGTGATCCTTTAACATATTCTAAAATATATGCTCAAAGTAAAAAGATCCAAATTCACAAGAGTATGAAATATTTATAAAAAAATCATGCATCAGATTGTACAATCTAGAAATAAAAGAAGATTCAAATTCAGTAATAAAGGTAAGAGCGATGCTTGCTCTAGATATTTAGAAAGACCTTAGACTCCCAGAAGGTCCTGGGTCTCAGTTATCCTTTTCTGTTTGTAGAGAAGCAGCAGCCAGTGCTACTGCTGTGACTGGTTGGGCAATTCCATGGAGCTGCATCTTTGCAAGTTTCTTCTGTTCACATTCTGTGACCAAACGGTTCAATTCTGCTGCACTGTATCCAATAAGAGTCTTCAAGTCACAGACAAACTTGTACACAAATCTCTTTCCTTGAACTTTACAAATCATGTCCCCATCATAATAATACCTTTAAAAAGAGAGAAACACATTAGGACTATGAAAAAATGAAGAATTAAGACTTCTTAGGATTCACAGAATATTTCATAAGCAAAAGCCTAGAAGAGTTATTACACTTACCACAATAGTAGTTAACACTGAAGTAGCACCAAACTTTCAAAGCAAATTTTCAACAACTGATCAAACACTGATTTAAATCAAACATAATTATTAAATACAACAAGAAAAACAAAGTCCTGTGAATGGCAGAAGATGCTAACAGGGTTTTTGAGTCAAAAATCAAGATTCAAAACCCAGCATTTGAACTTACTGCCTTTGGGACCACAGGAAAATCAAATTACCTCTAACTTTTTATTCCTCACATATAAAATGAGATTAAAAACAGTACTTACCCTAACAGAATTATTGAGGATTATGAGATAATCTTTGTGAAGTGCTTAGCACACAATGACTGGCACATAGTTAGCCCTCTAAAAAATATATGCTATGTTAATAAGTAAGAATCTAGACAATTAAAAAACTGATTTACATATTCTACGGATTGTTGGATGTCCACTTCTCTTCTGTGAATTGTGTAAATTCTATTATGATGTAGATTTACCTTTAAATTTATCATTTTACTATACAAAGGCTTTCTCAATTTCAGAGAAATCATTCAAAACCAACAGGAGTTTCAAATGAATAAGTAAAAGGATTTGAAGAACAGAGAATACAGAAAAACAGGAAGTGGATATTATAAAGAAACAATGTTTCTAACCCCTTATATAAACAGATTTGAAGAAATCATTCTAGAAGTCTAGCTCACTGTTGCTTCCAATGGAGATGGAAAAAGGAGTGGATTTGTCTTTACTTTGGAAAACAAGTCTTACCACTGTGCACTGATAATCTGAACAACAGAGGGAAAAAAAGAGAAGTCAAGCTCTTTTATGGGCTGGCAGATTGTGAAGCCCTTATCTTAAAATTGTACTGCTCATTGACAAAGAACTATCAACAAAAGGAACAACTATTTGCAATGTACCTGTGATATAAGCTAATACAGTTAGCAGGATTTTATTCTAAAAGTCACTTAGGCTTAATTAATAATCTATTAATGAAAAGACTGATCTATATATAGCAAATTATGCCATCTTTCCCCAATTCCGGAATAGCAAGAGTGTAACAGTTAGCTTGATTTTCAATGTGTGATTAACACATTGGGCAAAGTCCTGTGTTTTCTTTTTTGTCATAGCATTAATACAGAATTTGGATCTCAGCCTACAAAACCACCAATTTCTTGTCATGCACTTTTAAATGCTGTAAGCATTTCAATTTAAGATAATTCCTACATTAATATACTAGGTTGCAATAACAGACACAGGAATAAAAGGAAAATCGAGAAGGAAAGTGGTTTCACCTAAGTGGAAAATGGAATTGATACCATATTTCCTAGAGGTTAAAGAAAACATGCACATGCACAGATTTTCATTTTACTTAATATTTCCTTTCTTCAATCTAGTTGATGCATCATAGAACTACATATAGTAGCATTCATTGCATTTGTTCTTTCCCTAAAATGAAAAAGTGGAAAGGTTCACAATACTTGTATTTTCATGGATGTGATTTTCTTTCTTTTTAAACTTGAAATCTTTTTAAACCTTTTTAATTGTGAATTACATGACACAAAAGACACAAAGTTAATTGCTCAGTGATTTATTACAAAGTGAACATTCTATCAACCCAGTTCTAAACAAACAATAACAGCACCTAGAATCCCCCATGTACCTTCCCAATAACCATCCCTCCTACTTTAAAAGGTAAACACAAGCCTGCTTCCTGAGAGTAATTTCACTGCTTATTTTTTTTATCACCTCAATATATATCCCTAACTGTGATAGTTTAACTGTTTTTTTAAAACCTGTACTAAATAAATGAGTTCATAAAGTATGGATTTCTTTTCTGAACATTATGTTTGTGAGTTTCTTAATATTACTCTAGCAGTAGTTCACTTTCATAAATGCACAGTACTTAATTGTATGAATATACTACAACTGATTTATCCCGTCTACTGCTGATAAGATATTTGGTTTATTTCTGATTTGGGAATATTCTAGCAAACAGCTGTAAGCATGTGTGAGGGCATTCATGAACACTTTTTTCAGGTATCTACTTGATAGACAGTGGTGGCTCAGTGGTAGAGCGCTTGCCTAGCATGTGTGAGGCACTGGATCCGATCCTCAGCACCACATAAAAATAAACAAACAAAATAAAGGTGTTGTGTCCATCTACACCTTAAAAAAAAAAAAAAAAAAAAAAAGCAACTGTTGGGTTATAGGTTATACATTCCTACCAAAGTGTGGCAGCATGCCCACTGCTCCATATCCTCATCAACACTTGGTACTGGTGATCTTAACTGTGACTATCCTGGCCCTAGAATGTGCTATACAATTTTATTGTGATTTCAAACCGCATTTCCATAATTACTAACAAAGTGGTGCATCTTTGCATGTATTTATTGGCCACTTGAATAATCTCTCAACTGAATTATCTACTCAAATCTTTTGCCCATTTACAAAAAATTTTCCTTATTGATTTTAAGATTCTTCGGATATTTCAGATATAATTCTTATGACACATATGAGTGGCTTGCTTTTTATACTCTTAATGATGGCTTTAAAAAATATTTTTATAGTAGATGGACAGGATACCTTTATTTTATTTTTATGTGGTGCTAAGGATCGAACCCAGTGCTTCACACATGCTAGGCGAGCATTCTACCAAATGAGCTACAGTCCCAACCCTTAATGATGATGGTTTTGATGACCAGAAATTCTTAATTTAAATATAGCCAAGTTTACTGATCTTTTCTCTTATGGTCAGGTCGGTGCTTTCAATTGTTTAAATATTTCTACCTGTTACCTGCAATCATGAAAGTGTCTCTAGATGTTTTCCTATTTTGCATCATCAAGCTACATGGAACTGATGTTTGGTATGATACAAGGGAGCAGTCAGGTGTCATCTGGCTCCCTTAGTCCCCAATGAGTTGCCAATTACCCCACCACTGCTGACTGAAAAGTAAATTTTCTTCATATGTTTTCTTCCCATTGTCATATTTCTTTAAATCAAATGTAATATGTTCTTGGTTATATTTGGGTTTCCTATTCTAATCTATTGTATAATTTCTGATAGAAATTTTGTACTAGTAAGTTGGGCATGGTAGCACACACCTGTCATCTCAGATACTTGGGAGGCTAGGGCAGAAGGATCACAATATAGAGCCCAGCCTGGGCAACATAAGGAGACTGATTCAAGAAAAAAAAAAAAAAAAAAAAAGAGAGAGGGAGAGAGAGAATTCATAACACTATACCAAACCATTTTATACTCTTCCAATTTTATCAATGTAAAGGTTGGATATTTACATTTAAGCAGACTGTAGAAAAGAAAAATTTTTTAAAAAAGGAAACAATATTTTGCATCTAATTCTAAAAGAGACAGTAATTGTATATTTGTTAAAAAATTTATATTCGCTCATTTTAGCTATGCAAATGACAGCATCTATCTGATATGCAAATGATAAAATCTCAAATATTAAACACACTGGTTTTACCCACTTGAATCAAAGTGTGGAATATGATATGTCAAGAAATTTGTAATGTTTTGAACAACCAACAATAAAAAATTAAAAAAAAAAAAAACACACTGGTTTTGAACAGCATACTATATGCTTTTAAATCAGAGAAAAACGATTTTCAAAATACTTTATGTACCTCAAAGTTATTAATAAGATCTTTTTAAAGAGTCATTTTTAACATAACATACAAATTTTAGCTTTTTAAAAATACATAACATCTATAAACAAGCCAAATAATTAGTATCATTACATAAAATGTTTACAACTAGAATATGAAATTACCTTTTAGAAAGACTTGATATTGGAAAAAAGAAGCAATAAATGCTAACCTTAATGCACGACTGAGCTTCTCATAGTTCATTGTAGGCTTGTTTTTGCGTTGTCCCCATTTTTGTGCAACAAGTTCCGGTTGATTTAACTTAAACTCGCCTTCATCACCAACCCAAGAAATACAGTCTCGAGCATCCTTATCAGTAAGAAGTTCTAACAAAAACTGCCATAGTTGGATTTGACCATTGTTTCCTAAATTAACAAGACGGACAAGTTATTGTCCATAGTGTTACAAACTAACACAAGACACAGGCAACACACAGATGCCCTGGTTCAGATCTCAGGGGCAACAAAACAAAATTTTTGTTTTCACAAAATAATGTGAAATACTGCCCAAAGAATAGTCCATATTAACATTTTCATACAGTAAAATATAACTAATTTCATAAGTACCTGTTAATGCAAAAATACCTGTTCTGTTTCCAGGTGAGCTTCTATCTTCCCCTGAAATCCTTGGGGCTCTTTGTACTTTAGCTGCTTTTGCACTACTATTTATAACTTTAATAGTAGTTGGAGTAGCAGACTGCACTGATGCTGGAATAATCTGCACAGCTGCAAGAAAAGAAAAGGGAGAAATTTTTTCTCCAATACAAGTAGTAAAAACAATTCTTGAATGACCTTAAATGCAATCAATTTAATTAACGTTCTTCTAATTATATCAACACAAGGCTTCCTTATAAGACTTAATTCACAACAGTTTTGGATCAAACTTATAAAATTTCAGAGAATGACGTATATTTGCATTAATATTTGTAAATCTTAACAATGAAAAAAGCCTCCTTATTTTTGAGAGAGAATTTTTTTTTTTTTTTTTTTTTTTAATATTTAGTTTTTAGTTCTCGGCAGACACAACATCTTTGTTTGTATGTGGTGCTGAGGATCGAACCCGGGCCGCACGCATGCCAGGCGAGCACGCATGCCAGGCGAGCACGCTACCGCTTGAGCCACATCCCCAGCCCCATCCTCCTTATTTCTGAAATAACAATATAGATATTAGGCAAAGAATTATAAAAACATTTGTTTCTAAATATTTATTAATAAAAATTGCATAACATTTTGGAGAAAATTTGGACAAATAACACACACTATACTTCTAGTAACAAGACAAAGTCATATAACCACTTTGAGAAAAACTGTGGCACTACCTACTAAGGTTGAAAGGGTAGAAACCCTGTGACACTATCTTACAAATACTCAATTCAATGACGTTCGTTCATTCAGCAATGAAAACGAATGAAGACAAGCTGTAACTATTCATAAAGATTAGTCTCATAAATGTTAAACAAAAAGCTAGGTTACAGAAGGATATGCACAATATAATACTACTTCACCTAAAACCTTAAAACATGTGCAAAAAATGCTATAAAGTTTATGGTAACATAGTTAGTAGAAATCAAATTATGTAAATAGTGAACCTCAAGTTGATGATAGTTCTTTCGTTGGAAGAAAATGGAATCTACAACAGGTAAATTTGACATATTTTATTTCTTATGGGGTACATAGGTGTTATACCTTATTTTTCTGTATATCTAAAAATCTTTCATAAAAAATGTTTACTACCTTGCAGTAATTTTTTAAAAAAAGTATTTTTTTTCTTCTATTTGGTACTGGGGATGGAACCCACAGGTGCTTTACCAGTCCATTTTATTTATTTGTTTTTATTTTGAGATAGGATCTCATTGAGTTGCTTAGGGCCCTCCCTAAATTGCTGAGGCTGGTCTTCAACTTGCGATCGATCCTTGTGCCTCAGCCACCCTAGTCAATGGAATCATAGGTGGGTAGCACCGTGCCCAGCAAAAGATTTCTTAATGATTCAGTGGACAAATATTATGGGCATGAATACTCACGTTGATCAATTGTAACTATCTCATTCATCTGCTGTTCTTGGCTTGCCAACACATCTGAAGAACACACAAAAAAAAAATTGTTTTCATTCAAAACTAGAAATAAAAATTCCAATCCAGTAAAATTCAACTTAATAAACAAAATCTTTTTAAAGGGAGTTCCATAATTAAAACCAAAACCAACTAAACAAAAAAATCCAAATACTAAAGACATGAAACTTATAAATACTTGAAAAATTCCTGATGGTCATTTTAAAAGGCAAAGGTATCTTTTAAGGGAAGGATCACAGGGAGACTCAACTTTCTTATAGTGTTCAGAAAAGTTATTCTAAAAATTATGGCTTTCTAAGTACAAATATTTGTATCTAAATCAATTTATCTACATGAAGTTATGTAAAAAACAGTAAGAACACCAAGAGAGAATATACATCAAACTGAAATTATTTAGATATACACTTCCACCAAAACTTGCTCAGAATGATCTATTAAAATATCTACCTTTGAATAAAATTATAGCAGTCCTATACATCACAATGAAATTAAATAATTTAACGTTTACAAATAAAGCTTTCAAAATAAGAGTTATGTTACACAAGGCCCTAACATAGCCCTTTACAGAACCATACATTACTCATCTGTTATATTCCGTGCTTAAATGCTATTCTTTATCTGTCAAACAATAGTTGTGAATCTCAGTCTCTACTACCAGGTCCATTTGGAGTCCACTGTTAACTATGCTGCTTTTAAAACATTTCTTGGTTCTTTCTGGTTATACATGACAGTAGATTTTGATAGACAAACTGAACTCAGAAGTAATCATTCTAGGATCTCAGTGAGTCCTGGGACTTAGGATACCAACCAGACTCTACTAAGGGTGCCATGCCAAGAAAGGCTGAGGACCTAATAAGAAGTCTGAATCCCAAACTGAAAAGCTTCTTCTCAGCAAAAGAAACAGGTAAACAGAGAACCTACATGAGGAGAGCAAATTTTTACCACATGCATATCAGATAGAGCACGAATCTCTAATATATATTAAGAACTCAAAAAACTCAACACCAAAAAACAACCCAATCAGTAAATGGGCCAAGGAACTGAACAGACACTTCTTGGAAGGTGATATAAAATCAATCAACAAATGTATGAAAAAATGTTCAACAGCTCTAGTAATTAGAGAAATGCAAATCAAAACTAATCTAAGATTTCAACTCACTCCAGTCAGAATGGCAGTTATCAAAATTATAAGCAACAATAAGTGTTGGCGAGGATGTGAGGAAAAGGCACACTGGTACATTGCTGGTGGGACTGAAAATTGGTGCAACCAATCCGGAAAGCAGTATGGAGAGCCCTTGGAAAACTTAAAATGGAACCACCATTTGACCCAGCTATCCCACTCCTTAGTCTATACCCAACGGACTCAAAAATAGCATACTACAGTGACACAGCCACATCAATGTTTATAGCAGCACAACTCACAATAGCTGAACTGAGGACCAAATCTAGATGCTCTTCAGTAGATGAATGGATAGAGAAAATGTATTATATATACACAATGGAATATTACTCAGCATTAAAAGAGAATAAAATCATGGCATTTGCAGGTAATATATATATGGAGTTTAGAGAATACTATGCTAAGGTGAAGTAAGCCAATCCCCAAAAAAACCAAAGGCTGGAAGTTTTCTCTGATATGTGGATGATGATCCATAATGGGGAATGGGGTGTGGAGCATGAGAGAAATGGAGGAACTTTACATAGGGCAAAAAGGAGGAGGGAGGGAGGGGAAGGGAGGGGGAATGGGGATAGGAAAGATGGTAGAATGAGATGGACATCATTACCCTAAGTGCATGAATGTGTGACTTGACTTTGTGAACAACCAGTGACATGAAAAAATTGTGCTCTATATGTTTATGTTTATGGTTGATTCTCCCTAGAATTTTATGTAAGTATATGAAAGAGGAAAAAGTATTATTGAAATTCAAATTGTTTCATTTGTGACTAAAATGAATAGAGGTTCACTATCCTCAAAAGAAGTCAAGGAGAAAGTAACACAGCCTAGGTGTGACCAAACTGTAAAATCAGCCCCTAATGCCTTAATTCTCATCCATGAGTTTGGTCCTGGGAAGACAGAAAACAGAAGACAGAACACAGAAAGAGAGGGGTTTTAGAAAGCTTAGTCCATGAGCATATAGACATTCTGAGTATAATATTTCCCCTGAAGCTTCAAAATCTTGACTGTGCACGAAGGAAGCATATTCCTTAGAGGCAAAGCTCTGGGGAATATAAATCCATTTTATCAAAAAACTTTATATACTAAAGGTATAAAGAATTCTTTTTCTTAAGAACACCCTCAGCAAAATTAGACCGTTGCCTTGGGTGACAAAGATAGAAGCACATTAGAACTGGCAGTATTGGGACATTTCCTAATTAACCCCCTGCAAGTATAGCAGAACCTGGATAAAGTTTCAACACAAAAGGAACTTGCCAGAACAGTGGCACATGCCTGTAATCCTACAGGCTCCAGAGGCTGAGACAGGGGGATCCTGAGTTCAAAGCCAGCCTTAGCAACAGCGAGGCAACAAGCAACTCCATGAGACTCTGTCTCTAAATAAAATACAAAATAGAGCTAAGGATGTGGCTCAGTGGTTGAGTGCCCTTGAATTCAATCCCCTGTACCAAAAAAAAAAAAAAAAAAAAAAAAGGAATTGCAGGAATGTGGTAGCTCAGGTGGGTAATCAACACATATCAGCAAAAGCTCTACCTCTCCAGCACAGCTTCTCCTTGAGATCACTGAGGAGGAACAGATAATAGGCTGGGTCAAATACAGTTTTGTCTCAGAGATATTCTGCAGACTTCTCTATTCAGGAAGGACCAGATTGGTTAAAGAATCCTGGTTCTGAGAAGACTTGTGAATTATAAAGAGTCAGCCAGAAGTAGCCTCACACATCATCCAGTTCATTCCATAAATTCTAAGCTGTTAGATTCCCAAACCACATGGAATTTCCCTGTCAAAGCAGAGCAAGAAAGATAAAATTCTTGGAGATACTTATCTATGCTGTAGGGATTTGCTGTTTTTGAAAACAAGACAATTCCAGAGCAGAACTTTTCTGTGGAAGAACCATTCTCTTTTAGACCAATTTCCATGGAAATGGAAAAATATCTAAGACTCTTTTGCTACCCAAACTAGGAAAAGTCTATGAATGAGCTTTATAGTTGAGAACAATAGGAAAACCAGAAAGAATGAACTACAACAAAGAGTTGATCTGGCAGATAGCAGGGAAACCTTGAGTTTGGGGAAAACTTAACTGTAGTCTAGGCACTATGGTTGTTGTGTCCTTAAGAATTCTTACAAGAAAAATATTGCAAATGAACATATTTCAATGTAAGACCCTGAAACAATTCAGAATTTTCCTTATTCATCTGAAAAGCTCTTCAGAGGAAAATATGAGAAAGCAATGACAAAGCTTCAACTAAGACATTTAACTTATTTATCTATAAGAACTGAAATTGGAAATAAACCCTATAAATGCAATAAATGTTGTCAGTATTTTAGTGTGATACCTTATTTATTTATTGGTAAGAGGGACTGAACCCAGTTTACCACTGAGCCACACCCTCAGTCCCTTTTTATATTTTATTTAGAGACAGGGTCTCGCTGAGTTGCTGAGATTGACTTTGATCCTCCCGCCTCAGCCTCGAAAGCCACTGGGATTATTAACGTGCCTAACTGGTACTTTAAAAAAAAATATTTAAAAAATCCATACAAGAGTAAAACTGTGGATAAACAATGAAGAAAAGCCTCCCTCCAAAGTTCATTTCTCATTCAACAGCAGAGAAAGCGCCTCAGATGCAAAAGCTAAGCAGTACATGACCGTGAAAAATCTGTGTAGCAGAGCTCTTCCCTTATTTGGCATATGGCACACAAAATATTCACCATTACATTTTCACCCATAACTTATAAAGTCAGAATTTGTCCTACTTATGAACTGAAAAATAATAAAGGTCTGGCTAGCATCTCAGATATATAAATAGTATTAAGGACTGGCTTGTTGTTAAGGTGTCTTAATAAATGTAATATGTCACTGAAATATAAAAGATTAAAATTCAAACAAAACAGTTTACATTTATTTGAGCTTTTTTTTTTTTTTTTTTTTTTTTGCATCTAAGCAGTTTCTAGTTTTCCTACAAAGTAACTTGATCATAATGTTTGTGGAACGAAAGTGGAATCATTTACAAACTAGTGACTTCCAATTTATGATGGTGGGATGTACACTTCTTTCTCTTTAAAGACCCTGTTCAACTATAGTAAATTAAAATGTTTAATCCCACTAATAATTAGAGAATGAGGTAGAAGCCACCTGTGAATAAATAATCTTAAACTTCTAGAAGATGTGCAGAAAATGGAAGAATTGACTGATAAAACAGCATCTGAGTTAAGAACTCAAATTCTAATGTAAGCCTGGGTTAAAATATTAGCTGTGCCTCTCCCTGTCACCTTGTGAAGCATTTTAAAGCCTAATTTTCTTACACAAAAAACAAGTAAAGTAATGCTTTGTGGCAGAATTACAGGGATTAAAGAAGATAACACAAAGAGCTGTCAGCACTCCCATATGCAGTTAACAAAAGTATTACTGCTTAATTAACTTACTATTGTTATTAACAATTAAGATAAAAACAAATTTGTAAAGAAAGTACAATGTAAACAGATAATAACTCTTAATTTTATACATTTTCGAAGAAGCTCGAGATGACTCCAGAGAATTTCTCCCCGAGGGACTCGCTGAAAAAAGTCTTCTTGGTTGAGGCTACATAAATCTCTCCCCGAAATGTTGAGGGTGGTGAGGTCAATGTCAGTCATGCTGAACTCCTTCATTACCCAAACCACCCAATGTAGGACTTGGTCTGTGGACCACTGTATAGGATCTAGAAAGAAAATATTACATTTAGTCTAGTTCCTTTATATGTATTATATTTATAATTAACTTGTCAATACATAAACATACACACAACATCCAGATATTTTTCCCAACAAAATAAAATTATATGAAAAGATTTTTATACTGTATTTTCTCATCTCCTTTTTAATTTCTCAATCTAATTTTGTTGTTGTTGTTATTGATAGATTTGTTTGTTTTGAGACAGGGCCATGCTATGTTGCACAGGCTAGCTTTGAACTTGTCATCATCCTGTCTTAGTCTCCTGAGCAGCTGAAATTACGGGCATGTGCCATTTTGTCAGGCTCACTCTAAATTTATGATAGAATCTCTTGGTACTATATCAGCCTAGAATTTTATCAAGAAAAACAAAATACAACATACATGGTTATCCTGGAGAGAACAGAGCAAATTATTTAAGTTCAAAATATTGTTTTATAGCATTGTCTGATTTGGTGCCTTGAAAAAAATTCCAAGGGGATTCTAGGGAGTGACCTTTAGTCTCTAAAATGTGAACAATGTACCTTCCGCCTTTTCCCTTCTTGTAAAAGGTTAGCTGCTCCTGCATTTACCTTTATGGCATCCCTTACAATACAACATACTAATTACTTATTCACTAAGCTGCCAACATTAAAGCCTTATAAATATAAGGCCTTTGTCTTGTAAATTCTTCCAAGCACTTATGTGGTATATTCAGATAATTTCATTTTCTCCATCATATTTTACTATCTAACTGAATTCACAAATGAAAAAGATGGTCAACTGCAAAAATATTAGAGCACTAAGTAGAGCACACTATCTGTGAAAGTATGGATAGCCACAGAATCTTTTTTTTCCTTAAAATTTTCTATATAAAGAAGTGAAGTGAAGAAGGATTATAGGAAATGGTAATTAATTTCTCTGAATGCATAACATAAAAATAGAAAAAAATAACAAGGAGGGGGACCCAAAACAAAAAATCACTACTTTTGGATGTTTACAATAAAGCCAGGTGACAAGATATCCCCTACTCTATAACAGACATGGGTAAAGACACAGCAAAACAGCTAGAAGACCTCCATGGTCCCTATATCTGTGCAACACCAAAAAAAAAGGGTAGCAAAGGGGCATCTGATCCATTCTAAGTGCAGGAACACCAGTATACAGTTAAGAAGTATCTACTGAAAGCACAACAGGCCAAGCTGAAAGAAGCAATGGCTTAAAAATAGTTTTGCCCCAAACCAACAGCAGCTGAGTATAAGGGGTTCATGACGAGGTTTAAAGGACTGGTGCAGTCTGGGAGTTTTTCAACTTAGTCAAGGATTACTTTCAGGAGCGTGGCACTCACATAAGGAAGACTGGAAGTAGAAACAAAAATGAGAAGGACAGGGACACAAGAAAATGGAAAGAGGCGGCTCAGGTCCAAGCTAAGTAGAAAAAAAAGAAACAACAACAAAGAGAAACCAAAGAATGAAAAACTAAACAAAACAAAAAAACCCCACAATAACAACAACAAAAATAAGGCAGAAAGTAACGGAGAAAGCAAGCTACCTATTTCTGGAATACTACTTCAAAACAACAAAAGCACGGAATTCTGTTCAGCTAGAATAACCACCAGAACTACACTTCTCTAAAGAGTCCAAGACAGCTCATTTTACATCAAATTAGACAAAAAATTATCAAGATCAATAAAGGGGAAAACATTAGCCTGATCTTTTCTCTGAAATAATATCATGACTTCTGGTTTAACACGCCAAATTGGCAATGCATGTTCTGTCTCTTTTCCCGCAGAGGCAGTAATATGACAGTGAAAGAACTTTCAAAAGATGAAAAAAATCGGAGGAACATGAGAATAAAGTGACAGATGTGGATAAGAAATTTCTACTAGTTTTTTTGAAGACAATAAGCACAGAAATAGGCAATTTGACAGAAAAGGGGAAAAACCATGACCTAAATGTCCGTCCAGAAAGATACCACTGGAAATTGAATGCCTTCCTTCTTGCAGAATTCCTACATAGGCTCATTCATGGTGGCTCCAGGCAAGAGGAAAGACTTAAAGTTCAGAGGATTGATTTAAAAGTATATGGTTTTAGAATCTACATGGCCTCTCCTTCACTCTCAGGGGGAAGTAGATAGGAGCATCGCATACATGTGGACACCAAAGCACTATAAATGAGGAAAAACATGAAGATGACATTGGGAGAATAGTTCCCAGTAATAAAAATCTATAAATGGAAGAGTAAGACCTCTCCACCTCCTCCCTGTCCCAGTTCTCATTCCACTTTTAGAATGCAGCACTCACATAAATATCAATCCTAATAGTCATCCCATCTTCTATTCCTGACAGGCATTTGGCCCATTCTCCAAGTAGAAGAAATCTAACAAAAAGATCCACACATATCACATTTGAATATCTTTTAATGAAAAACCCAATATCTCTTTTTATCAGCATCTAGTTAACAAATCCTTCAGAACTTCAAACAAATGAGCTTTAAAGTTATTTGGTTTTGAATGTAAATACACAGGCAGGAATATTCAAACATTTGAGAAATACTTAAACCAATAAATAAAAATAAACAAAAAAAATTCAGAGAGAGCAGAACATTATACATATAAATAAATGTTATGGAAAAGAACAAACAGAACCAAAGAGCCCTTGTAAATGAAAATTTAAAATCAGGCTAGGCACAGAGGTGCACACCTATAAACCCAGAAGTTCAGAAGGCTGAGGCAGGAGGATTACAAATTCAAAGCCAGCTTCAGCAACTTAGTGAGACCTGTCTCAAAATAAAAAAATAAATAAATAAAAAGGGCTAGGTGTGATAGAGCATCCGGTGTTCAATCTCCAGTACTAAAACCAAATATTCAACAAATCAGATAGATTAAAATTTAAAGGCAAAAACATTTGCTAGAAAGTAGTAGAATTGAAAAAGAAGGAAGAAAAATAATGCAGAGAGGATCAATCCAGGACATTCAACAGAGTTAAAAAAAAAAAAAAAAAAAAAAAACAGAAACACAGAAGGTAATAATCAAAATAATACTGTAGGAAAACCCTCTAGAACTGAAGGCTACAATTATCTAGATCAATAATGATCAAAAGAGATACAATGCAAACTACTATGTAATTTTAGATTTTATAATGCCCATTAAACTAGTAGGTGAATTTCATTTTAATAATACATTAAATCTAATATATCCAAGTATATTACTGTTCAAATATGTAATCGGTGCAAAAAAAATTGATTTAATTGGTTATTTCACATTTACAGCCCATCTCAGTTCTGACCAGGCACATTTCAAGTGCATACATGAGACTATTGGCTATCATACTCCATAATATAGGGCCTGACTGAAACTTTACACCATAAACCATAAATCTAAGATGAATGAAAAAGATTCACCAAACCAAAGTAAAGACTAGGCATTAGGAGCAGACAAAAAAAGGCTCCAGAAAATTTAAAAAACAAACAAACAAAAGCCCAGGATATATAAAGGAGTAGATGAAAATACCCCTCGAATGTTTGACAATAATGGAACATGGTCATCAAAATTTTGAGGAAAAGTCATTTTTCAACTTTAATATTATATACCCAAACTATCAAAGAGAATATAATAAAGTTAGTTTTAGATGTGTAAAGCTCATCAAAAGAAAGAAAAATATCTATTTCTTAGTACCTTTTTATAAGAATAGTGCATAAACAGACTGAAACTATGACAAAGGAAAAATATGATATCCTGGAAAATGGGAGAACCAGCATTAGGATGACTGCTCTGCAGCAGACATAGAAAAGACTTGATCTAAAGACAACTGAGAATTTGGAAAACACTAACAACAGGAACAAAAATAGCTCAAAATGAGAGAAAGTGGTATTGTAGACAAACCTATAAATCAACTAAAAATAAATCAACTTTGAATTTCAGGAGAAGTAAGAGTTGTGTAAATATAATCATACAATAAACAAACACTTATAAGGCACACAAAGACTATGATTTAAATAAAAAATTGCATAACAATATTACAAAACAGAGAAGGGGGTAAGGTATCATTGTGTGCAATGAGGAAGGATATGAAACCTTATCCACTATAATATGAAGTTAATTATGGTAAAAGCAATAAAGTAAAAGATAGTTGCACCTGGGGTAAAGGGCTGAAGATTGGAAAGTTGGGTTAAAGAATTACTGTTTTTCCTAAGAGATTTTTTTCTTTCTTTAAGTGAAACAAAATATACCATAAGTGATGGATCTCACCAAAGGGGTTAAGGAAGAACTATGGAACTGAACAGCGAGATATAAATCAATTGTTTCTGTATTACAGTTACAATAACTTTTTTTGTGTGTGTATATGTAACATTTAAAATGTTAGTATCTGAAAATTTTGAAGGCCAAAAGCATGAATCTGTTTTTTAAAAAAATTATTCAAACTGGAAGAAAAACAATCAATCTCCACATGTTTTAAACATTTGTAGTTAATAAAAGAATAAATATTGACTGATTTTGGCTAGTCTTCTAAATAATATGTATCACATTAATGTGAATTTCATACTCAGTAGTTTAATGTGAAATACTGAAAAAAATTAGCATAAAAACTATACACACATGTCAATACATACACATACACATATGTATCTGTCAACACACAACAAATGAAGAAGTGGCGCTAAGCTGCTACTCCATATCAGACTTCCCTACTTTCCCAACAAGGATCTTAAAAGTATGCTCTGTCTCCTCATGCACCATCACGAGCCCAGTTTTTAACACCATGGCACACATATACATGAAAGCATTCATTACACATATAATGAAAATGCAACTGATTTTTATCAAGATTATTGCCCCAATCACTTAATCCTTGAATCTCCCCACTCTGTACTCACACTCTCATCTTAGTCCTAGCATTATTTCCTTCCCTTTCCTTTCTCTCCTTCTCTTTCTTGTTCTTTTCCTCCCTCCCTCCTTCTTTCTTTCTCAGTACTAGGGATTAAAGCCAGGAGCACTTTACTGCTAAACTACACCGGAAGCCCTTTTTTTAATTAATGCTACCAGGCTTAAGCTTTATACCCAATGTTTCTGGCCTCCAATGTCCTTTTCTACAAAATATTTTGTCTATAAAAAAAATCTTCCCCAGTTTTTTCTCAGGCCACTATGATTCCTTTGAGATTCTAATAGCTTATTGTGTTTCTATAAGCTATTGACAGCTTTAATATTGCCTTTCATAACAATTACCTATTTTCATCTTTCTTTCCAACTATACTGTGAATATGCTAAAGGCAGAAATTTTGTTTTATACTTTTTTGTATTCCCAGCACCAATATTCATTCATCATACACGCTTAAGTGTGCTACAGTTCAAAACGGAGAGAGAGAAATCAACGTTCTTTTTACAAAATCTACAATTAAAATAGATTAAAACTTACCCTAATGTTCTCTATGTCAAACTAATTCTTATTAGTCTACCTAACAAATTATTATAAGTTTAATTACCATAGGGAATCCCAAGGCGTTCCTGTTCTTTCCTATAACCTTCCAGTGCAGCAGCCCATCTTGTCACTTGTTCTGAAGTTTCATCTGAAATGGTTGTGATGTGTTTTGTACCATCAAGAGTTATCACTTGGGCTTCTTCAACAAGATGTGCTTCTGCTTCAGCATGGTGGGCATCTGGATCAATTACGACTTCAACAGTTTCCGCAGTTTTAACAATTTCAAGGATGTTAAGTTTTGGTTCAATTCCTTAACAGTAAATTTTAAAAAAATATATAAATTTAAATTTAGATGATAACACACAAGGCACAAAAAATTGAAATTTAGTTTACATGTTCCCAAAGGAGAGGAAAAAATTTAAAAAATATATTTTTAGCAATATATCTAGAGAATTTAATAGATCCCTATTAACAATAAATACAAATCAGTAGAACTTTTGTCATAACAGTTCTGGATCAATGTTAATTTCCTGATGTTGATAACTGTACGATGATTACATAAAAGAATCCTTGATTTTAAGAAAACACACACTAGTGATGAACTTAGGAACAAAAAGTGATTGTGTCTACAATTTGTAATTAAATAGTTGAAAAAAACAATATGTGTGGGGAAAAGAAAAAAAGCAAGTGAGACAAAAATGAACATTTGAGGAATCTGGGTGAATGGTATTCAAGAATTCTTTAACCTGTTTTACAACTTGTCTACAATAATTAAAACATACACATACATGTCTTATCTGCAAACATCATTAGAAAAGAAAAAAGTACCAGTTTTTAACTACAATAAAAAATTAATGAATAAAAAGTATCAATATAGAATAAAAAATAAAAATTAAACTAGGGAGAATTTAAATGTTGAGTAGCAATACACCCTAAGATTTAAAAAAAAAAAAATTCTAAACACATTAAAATTACCGACTCTGCTCTTTTTTATAAAGTATAAAGAACATGTATAAAAACCATGCTGACTTTGTTAAATTAAGTTCACACCATTAAATTCTAATTTTCATTTTCAACTAAATGAAGAAAAACTCAAATTCAGAAGATACTTAAACCCTAATTTAAAGGTATTAAGAACTGTAATTTCTGTGAAAAAGATAAAAAATAAAGATGAGTTAAATAATTTATTAATTCAGAGACTCTTCCATGCACATCTACCCCAAATAAAAATGCCTAAATATGTTTCAGAAATTAGAATTAAGCTAAGAAATTATACCATAAAGAGAGCTATTTTGTTTAGTGGTGTCTACATGATTGTCTATAAGATATACTCTATTTATTCAAAATAGAAAAAAGTAACCCTACATGAAAATAATCTCAAATACCTATATTGAAAAGACAGCACTAAGAAACTACAATACTATTTAACAGCAAAAGCTTATGGAATCTGTTATAATAATCTACATTAGAATTAAAATAAATGCAAATTTGAAAGAAAAACAAAAGTCAACTTAAATACTTCATGAAAATTAGTATTATAAAAAAATGTACTATCATTGACTAGATGATATACAAAAGTCACTTTTTCAAATATATATGATAAAAATAATTAGAATTTTAAAGAAGTATTTTCCTAAGATTCATTCTCTCATCCTTATCCCAATTTCACTTTTATGGCTTTAAGTAAGTCAACTTTTTGTAAAATCTGCATTGAGAGGTTATTGAGTTTTTAAAGATAAAAATGATGAATTTTTCTATTTGCAACCAATAATCAATCCTGAAAGAATGAAGTATCAGAAATAATAACTATCACTTTCAAAGTCCAAAGAAAACTATGCTTTGTGGACTACAATTGCAAGCAATATTTGTTCAGAGATTAAATAATTTAAAGATTTATATTAGAAATCCCCAAAAAACACCAAATAAAAATACAACTTCTTCTGGGGGCGGGAATCCCAATATTCAACCTACCAAAAATTTTCTTCTATTTTCCTTTTTTTAATTTATGTACTTGCACAATAGTAAAATACTGTGATAGATATGGTTACCTGGGTCACTCCACTTCCTTTGCAAACTCTCTGTGCTACACTATAGTGACCCGATTTCCTTGCAATGAGAGTCCAGATGTGATTTAGACTCTAGATTCAATGCTGTTAAGTCTTCTATTGGGAAATGAGTCAAGAAAGGGCATTTTTTGACTATAAAAGGCAGAATGGTTCCAAGTTAATAGAATGGTAGCTTTCACACTTGCAAGAATATTTGGCTATAATTCACTTTAAGTCATTTAAACACCATCGAAATACCTATGACTCACAAAATGAGTTACCATATCAAAAAAACATAATGTAAACTTTAACTTACCTTGGTAAGAAATTACCTGTACACTAAGCTGTACAGTTCCATCTGTCTTTACTCCTTGGTCAAATAAACTTCGCTCTGGATCCAGCTAAATATGAGTAAAATGAGTAAGATTATTTCAGCTAAACCATCAGATTAAGGATCCTGCCTTTGGTTTAGCACAAATGCATATATGAAACAGAACTTAATTACTGAGCATACTAATTAAATTATAAGAACATGTTTAATTATCCAAGTTGTCATATCATTATTTGTCAAAATTAAAAATATCTTAACCACTTGAGGTAGTAACTGAGGACAGCATAAACCACAAAATTTATTTTTTAAATTTTATTTTATGTTTTATTTTTTGGCACCAGGGATTGAACCCAGAGGTGCTTAACCACTGAGCAACACCCCCAGCCCTTTTAATATTTTATTTAGAAACAAGGTCTTGCTAAGTTACTGAGGGCTTTACTAGGTTGCTGAGACTGGCTTTGAACTCGCAATTCTCTTGCCTCAGCCTCCTGAGCTGCTGGAATTACAGGCACAAAATTTATTTTAAGTGGTAGTTTTCTCTATCTCTAGAGTCTAGGTTGGTACCTTAAATAATGCCAAAAAACAATTGTTCATTCTATAGATGTATTTAAAGTATAAGATAATGCAATGTCTGTCATGGATAAGCAAGAGTGAACAATTAGTGGTAACAACTTTCTAAATTTATTCATATATTCATTCATGTTATATCTCCCTTGTAACCAATTGCCATTAAATAATGCCAAAAAGCAATTGTTCATTCTATAGATGTATTTAAAGTATAAGATAATGCAATGTCTGTCATGGAAAAGCAAGAGTGAACAATTAGTGGTAACAATTTTCTAAATTTATTCATATATTCATTCATGTTATATCTCCCTTGTAACCAATGCCATAAACAGAAGATTAGGGTTCACTCTAAATCCCTGACCACAAAGTTAATAAAATTTAAAAAATTATGGCCTTACAACTCAATCTAACTATGAATATTTTTAATCATACTTCCTGTGAGCATTAGGTGCTCTTTTTCCTTCACATCTCGTAGAGTGAATGTATTTCACACAATGACCAGCTGATGAGAAAAGTAATTATAACTTTCAGACACTTTTTGTCACTAGCTTGAAAAGAGATTTTCACTATAATTATCTTGAATAATGTATATCTGCATGTGTCTGCATATCATATTACCGAAGGTTCAAATCTCTCTCACTTGAATAATTCAGTTGATATAGCATTGATGGAATAAATACATTTCCTAAAATTCAGACTTATATATGTATATATATTAATATACACACACATGTACGTATGTTTACATGCTGTACATATACCAATATATACTCTATATACACACACTATATATACACAATTATGTATATATATACACATTCTACAATTCTAAGTAACTGTGTTTAACCCCTTTATATCTCAACTTCTATTTCTTTAGAATATGAATAACTGTTATTTCAAAGACTGATATAAAAGTTAAATGGAATAATTCAGAAGCATTTTGCAAGTATTTTTTAGCTCAATATATTCTGCTCTTATAATTGGGGAGAAGGAGAAGAAAAAAAATTACCTGGATATCTTGCAGGCAAATTTCATGAGCATCCAAAGAACACTGTAGTCTTGGTTCTAATAGTTTCTTTAAATTCCCTATTGGTTCATTGATGTCTATGGCCTGGCTCACACATTCAGCTGGGGCGTAGGTCTGTTCTACAATGCTATATATTTAAGAATACAAAAGTTAGTTATTACATTGTTACCCTAGATATTAAAGTAACAATATGCTCAAAACAAAATTCAATACCAAACTCATTTCTAGCCAGGTGTGGTGGCGCATGCCTGTAATCCCAGTTGCTCAGGAAGCTGAAGCAGGAGGATTTTGTGTTCAAAGTTAGTCTCAGAAACAGGGAGGCACTAAGCAGCTCAGTGAGACCCTGTCTCTAAATAAAATACAAAATAGGGCTGGGGATGTGGCTCAATGGTTGCACCGAAGAAAAAGCAAACATACTGTATATCACCAATTATCATTGCCTAACAGCTAAATGGAAATTTAAAGCACTCTTTATTTCCATTTAATTTAATCTGAACATTAATGATTATAATCAGCATAATTCCATATTAAAAAAAAAATTAAAGTCCTTAAAACTTTCTTATAACTCTTTTGTATTGGTATTTCACACTTTGAATTAGAAAAGGTTAAACTCTTTGGTAAGTAATTCTACATCTTTTGTAAATTCTCATATGATGCCAAATGGAAGACAGACATCAAAGAATACTTGCTAAACTGACTGATCTAAATTTCATTTGCAATTGTCAAAACAGTATATTATAAAATTTGTCAAGTTCCATTTTCACAAATTCCAAGTATAATGAGGAAAAATGTGATATTCAATGAATGTATATATATGTATGTATATATATGTATATACAATTCTTCTTAAAACATGCTTAGTTTATAAAAGAGAATACTAATTTTTTTAAAAAATTATTTTTAAAAAATACTTATTTTAAAATAGTAGTAAAAATATTAGGTGTTTAAAAAAAAACAAACAACCCAACCAATAAATAATGGGCTAAGGAGCTGAACAGACACTTCTCAGAAGACGAAATACAATCGATTAACAAATTTATGAAAAAAACGTTCAACAGCTCTGGTAATTAGAGAAATGCAAATCAAAACTACTTTAAGATTTCATCTTACTCCAGTCAGAATGGCAGTTATCAAAAATACAAGCAAAAAGAAGTATTGGCGAGGACGTGGGGAAAAGGCACACTGGTACGTTGCTGATGGGACTGTAAATTGGTGCAACCAATCCGGAAAGCAGTATGGAGATTCCTTGGAAATCTGGGAATGGAACCACCAGTTGACCCAGCTATCTCATTCCCTGGTCTATACCCTAAAGAGTTAAAAACAGCATACTACAGTAATGCAGCCACTTCAATGTTTATACCGCACAATTCACATTGGTTAAACAATGTAAGCAACCTAGATGCCCTTCAATAGATGAATGGGTAAAGAAACTGGTGGTACATACACACAATGGAATATTACTCAGCCTTTCAGAATAAAATTATGGCATTTGCAGATAAATGGATAGAGTTGGAGAATATCATGCTAAGCGAAATAAGTCAACTCAAAAATCCAGGGGCCAAATCTCTGATAAGTGGATGCTAATCCACTAGGGGGGGGGGGGGGGCATGTGATAACTCTGGATGGGACAAAGGGGATGGGGCAAAGGGGTATGAAAGACAGTGGAATGAGACAGACATGATTACCCTAGGTACATGTATAATTGCACAAATGGTATGACTCTACTTTATGCACAACCAGAGAAGTGAAAAATTCTGCTCCATTTGGGTACAATGAATCGATGAGCTGCCTACTGTCGTGTATAACTGATTAGAACTAATAAAGAAATAAATGGGTATTTTGACTATTAAGCATTTTACCAAATTTCTCAGTTATAGCATACAAGGCTACCATTTTCTCTCTCCATTTTTTGTTGTTGTTTGTTCGTTTGGGTGACAAATTTTAAAGTCACAGTTAGATTTTTTTTTTTTTTTTTTAAAGCTTTAAAAATTTTTGGTACTAGGGACTGAACCCCGGGACACTTTACCACTGAGCTACATTCCCAGTCCTTTTTGAGACAGGGTCTTGCTAAGTTGCTGAGGCTGGTCTTGAACTTGTGATTCTCCTGCCTCAGCCTCCCAGGTAGCTGGGATTAAGGCATGCTGTGCCCCAACTAAGACAGATTTCTGAAATCCTACTTTATAAGACATGGATGATCCATGTCACTCAGCCTCAATTTCTGCAAAGCAACAATCTGCTACAGCTGAGTAGCAACTACTGCTTCTTACACAGGTCAACAAAGTAACTATGCATTTCCTACACAGACATGTGCAAAGCGCCAGAGAGTAAATGCTTTAGGCTATATGGACTTGGATGCAAAGGTCCATTTAAAACATACATGCATGCCAGGTTTCAAGAGGATTCCCATGATCTTCACCCCCTAATATTTATACCCTTTTATAGTTAAAACTGGAGGCTATAAAGGAAGGGTTCTTATGTGGGAATGCCTAATAATAGATATCACAAAGGACTGTAGAGTCACTGAGTCCATTTGAGCCCGATCTCATAGACTTACAAATCTACTGAACCTCCTACATAGATAAACTTGATCTGTTTTTCACTAATATGATTATGAGTTACTGTCTTCATAGTTTTCAGAGACTGGCTAAAATACTAATTACTTGTATGCTAACTGCTTACAAAAAAGTAATGCTTTGCTCCTTGCTCATTGTTGTCTTAGCAACATGCCCTAGTATGCCTTGTCCAGTTACCTGCCAACTGCTACCAAGGATCTCTGGATTGCCCTGAGGCTGTTCATGCCCTACCTAACAGAGAACAAGCACTTTAGGTCACTTCTCCTACAACTTAGCTCTCTTTGAGAAGAAAGTAGCTTGGAGATGTCACTGTCCATATTTTCATAAAAATGGACTATAAAAATTGACAGTGTGGAAATATAATGTAGTTCACTATGCTTTGAATATACTCTTTGCTGCCTTCACTGTGACTTAATTTTAAAAATGTTTCTTTCTCTTTCTCTCTCCCTCCTTCTCCCTAATCTTTCCCATTCCCAAACCTCAGGGGAAACAGGATTACCTTCATTCCCCATCCTAGGCAAAGTTATCTATCCTGAGTACACACCCACCACAGGACTGAAGTAATTCAGATTTTGGGGATGGCACCAGAAGATCTCAGAAATGACTATCTCCCAAATTCACAAGTGAATTACAACTCCCAGAGAACACCAGAAATGTAGCCTTAGAATCACCTTTTTAAATACCCCAGGATGGGCAGAATCACAGTCTCTGGGACAGGAGTCAGTCCCTAGTGTTTCTTCTTTGCTAGCAAAGCAATAAAACTTCTTTTTCCAAAAAAAGAAAAAAAAAAAAAAAGAGAGAGAGAAAAGAAAAAAGAAGTGGTAGTAAAACCAGCAATAGATTATCCCCTATTGATGCTAATGTCATTTAAGAAAAACCTAAAGGAACTTAGGTATATTGATAATACACAAAAAATGGTAAGTTGAGAAAATACCAACCTTTCTTCTGTGCACTCTGTTTTCTCTGTTCCATCAATCTCAATTTCTATCAACTCCTCAGCTTCTCTTTTAGTCATGGTTGAAGTATTTCAAAAGCTCAGTTCTGCAAGTTAAATTTTAAGACACTTTAAAATTATCTGCATAAACTAATACACAAGCACAGACCAAATTAAAATAAAAGCAGAGTGCAAGTAGAAGAGTAACTGTTACGTATAAAAGAAAATCCACAAATGATATTTATATAAATGATTTATATATTTATATAAATGATTTATATATTATTTATAAATGATATTTATAATTCAGTTTTTGTTTAAAGGTGTTTATTAGTTTGACATAATGACTTCATTATTTTGTTGGATTTATTTTAATGTTTTTTGGCCCAATCTCAATGAGCAAGTTAATTTATGTTACTTCAAAATCAAAATAATGTTAACTATAAATGTAAAGCAACTCAAATTCAAACCTGAAGCTTAGCAAAGAAATAAACCACAAATGATTCGCTAAAAGTTGTGTACTTTTTTTGGTACTGGGGATTGAACCCAGGTGTGCTTAACCGCTGAGCAACACCCCCAGCTTTTTAAAAAATATTTTATTTAGAGACAGGGTCTCTCTGAGTTGCTTAGGGCCTTGCTAAATTGCTGAGCCTGGCTTTGAACTTTCAATCTTCCTGCCTTAGCCTCTCAAGCCACTAAGACTACAGGCATGTTCCACTGCACCCAGCTAAAAGCTGTAGATGATTAGCAATATTTTTTGCAAAGCACTGTACCAATATAAACTGAAGCTAGGATTTGTTACAAATTACTTAATAAACTAACAAATTATAGATGTGCATATAATTGCCTTGATTATACACTAGAATTTTTAAGTTGTTTTTTCAGATATAGCTTTAAACTATTAGTTCAATTTTTAATTATTTCATGTTAAATTATTACCTACTGCTTTAATGACCATTGCTACAAAAGTATAATTTAAAAATGCACTGTATTTTTTTTGAAAAATGTATTGCATAAAACAGCTACATATATTGTCATTTCTTGTGCTAATTTTTAAGGTGCTAATGGTAAAAATTCCAGGATCTACTACTCAGTGTGGATCAATAAATTTGTCTTTGAATTCCATGTATCATCATCTCACAGAGCTTCAGAATTAGTTTTGGAGTTTACTCCCTTATCTGAAAAATACAAATCTTTTGCTTATAAGAAACACTCTCCTAAATCTGGTATTCCAACACTTCCAAAGGAATCTGTGCTCCCAGTTAACAATATTTGACAAACTGAATTCAAATATTCATTCCTGTTAATGATAACCATTATTTACTGAGAATCAGGCAATGTATTTACATAGAACAGTTCTATTCTGAACCCACCATCACATGAAAATTATTCAGAGGTCAGTGAAACTAAACTGCTTGTGGTTCTGTATTGTCATTTTAGATATATCAACCTAAACACACATTATTCAAGGTGGGGCCAAACTATGGCTTATTCTAATACAGGGTCCTGCATATACTAATTCAAAAGCCACCACCTTCTGCTACTTGGAATATTACCATGGCATGTTAACAGAATTCTGTCTGCCTTGCCCCCTACAGTCTATTCTCAGTCAATACAACAGTCAGAGTTGTATCCTTTTTAAAACTGAAGTTAAATCACAGCACTTCTTTGATAGGTACCAGTTACTGTACAACCCAAAGATTTCACAATAGCCAACAAGGGCACCACATGATATATCTCCCATTTCCTATTCCCTCTCCCACATGAACTTTCTTGATTCTTGCAGTCCTATGGTCTTTGCTCCAATTTTTCAGATTGCCTGAAACCTAATACCCACAAATGTCTTCTTGGCTGAATCTTGTCTTTTCAGTGACCATACCCATTTAATTCTGTTATCTGTCTCTTATTTACTCCTTTTCCTTCTTTACCAGCGCACTTGCCCTTTAGCTTATTATGTTAATATATTTTGTACATATACGTTATTATACATACCATAGTATGTATATCTATCTATATATGATATATACATACACACTTTGTTTCTTCCCATTGGATCTTCATTAAAGCACAAAGACCAGAACTGTTTCTTCCCATTGGATCTTCATTAAAGCACAAAGACCAGAACTGTCCAAAAATGACCATAGGAACTTAAACTGGTTTGTATGGACTAGGAACTTCCTCTACTTTTTTGAAGTGGGAAGGGCCTGACAAAGTCTCAAGAAACCAACACCTCTATGGTTAGGAATAATGATTGGGAACCTGGGAATCTATTATGAAGGTAAAGAATTAAGGTGGGAGGTGGAATTAAAAATTATCAATCTTGACTTTAAAATACAGATTAAATTGGATTAAAAAGTGAGCCCAGTGAAATCACGAAGATCTTTAAAAGTAGAAAAGGAAACTTAAGAGAAGCCAAGGTGACTCAATGGGAGCAGGACTCAATTGGTCACCTGTGACTGGCTTTGAGGATGGAAGGCAGGCACCATAAGCCAAGAGATGCAGGAAGCATCTAAACAAACTAGAAGAGGAAAGGAATGATTTTCCTACAGAAGCTATAAAATACAACCCTGCCAACACCTGATTTAATTCCAGAGCTCCATTTCAGACTTTTTACCTCCAGAACTGTAAAATAATAAATTGGCAGCTTTTAAAGTTAATATATTTGTATAATGTTACAGTAGCAGGAGGAAAATAATAATCTCCCTTTCTACTTTAGAAAGGGTCACAATATCTCCAATTGCTAGATAGCTGGTTTCCTGACAACTTCAATCTATAAAAAGCTGACACCCAAATCTAAACTGCTTGGTATAAAAAGACCTAATTTTTCCCATACTATTAAAGTTGCTCTAACACTTACACCACAAGAAGGATAAACAGAGGGTAGAATTTACTACTCAAATAAGCTTGTATCATATCTGTCCTTCCATTATCTCTACTCCAGCTGGTTACTCTTTGGGATGATGAAAGGATGACGAATCTTTGTTTTCCTTTCTGACTGATATTGACCTGAAAAGAATTTCCTTTTCCAAGTAAAGCCTATTCCGTAACTAGTACCATCTGAAAGTTTGTCGAATTCACCCTGAGCAAAATAGGTGATGACCCAGTAAAGACCTACTCTTTGTAGAACACCATAAACTTTACAAGGGCAGGTATATTTGTTCACAAATCATACAAAGTAACTTGAACAGTATCTTGTCCTTAGTAGGCACTCCATTACAATGTGTTGAGTAAATTAATGATTTCGATTACTTCAAACCATAAATAATGGATTTCAGGTATCTTAAAGTTTTAAGTGAAAGAGAAAATGAAATAGCATTTTTTAAATGTGGTCTAAGGACAGAAAAGCATTTCTTAAAATTCCCAAAACATTAACTGCTACGGTTTAGATACGTGGTGTCCCCCAAAAAACTCCTGTGTTAACGTGTGAAATGACTGGATGAGAGCTGTAACCTAATCAGTTCATCCTTATCAAATTTAATTATATAAAGATTAGGTTCAATACATAAAAGAATGGAAAAAGATATTTCTGGAAAAAATATTTCAAACACCTAAAAGTGACAAGGGACAAATAAACGGAATAGATGACAATCTCCAGGAAGTTAAGGGGGGGAAAATTGGAACAAACTAGTAGAGAAAAAAAATAGGAAAAGGAAATTCATATAAAGGGAAACCAAAATGGTTCATGGAAAAAATGCTCAAATTAAAATCTTTCAAAAATGCAATTTGGCTCATGATCCTTCTGCCTCAGCCTCCTGAGTAGCTATAGTACCAGTGGTGTACCACTAAGCCTGCCTAAATAAATAAATAAGTAAATCTTAAAAACTGTTCTGTTCAGAAAAAAAAGTGAGAATAAAGCTTATAGCTGAACAGCACTTATAAAAAGTATCCTGATGCTGTCAAACAGCCCCAGTGACTTAGTAAGGATACTTGGGGCTCCCCTTAATATAAGGACTAAAACAGGAATTATTAAAAATAAAACTTCTCCTTTGCGCTTTCAAAAATGTTATAGATCAGTCTCCCCCCAAATAGAGGAGGTAGAAATGAACCCATACACTTTTGGAAAAATCGCGTTACTGATAGTCTTTGAATTGATCTTTCTCAGTGCTACTTAGCCAAAAAAAAAAAAAAAAGAAAAACAAAGGAGAGACTAGGAAACTGTCCAAATGCTTGAGAAGATCTTAGGTCTTTTTCTGGAACCAACTTCCCAGGATTCTACATCAATATTTAAGAAAATGGAAGAACAACACTATTTGGTGCCCCTCCACCTACGAACTACCCCTTGTCCTAACTACATAAAACAATTTCACAGACTTTTATTGGCATCTTAGTTCTTCTAAATTAATTGTAACAAGGACTTCAGAACATTCTACAAAATGGATGCAAACTAAGCTTGAATTAAACTAAAAATTCTGGTGTTAGTGCTTTTTTATGGTTTGTTTTTTACAAAGCAGATATCCTTAAGATTCTGTTTTGGAACCACAGATAAATTTGAGGATTGTTTTTCTTCATTAGAATGAATTATTAGTTTAGAGAGCTTTGGACCATATTCCCCCATACAGGATAAAAAATTTAAGTGCAGTCTAGAAGTATTTCCATGATCAACTGTACATTTTCCCAAGCTAACAAATACTTTTAAGTACCTGAGAAAATTAAAAGACATTTTATTCTAAAGAATAAAATCAACATTAAGAAAAAGCACACAGGCTGGGATTGTAGCTCAGTGATAGAGCACTTGCCTAGCACGTCTGAGGCACTGGGTTTGATCGTTAGCACCACATATGTGGCCATCTTCAACTAATAATAAAGAAAAACACACAGGTGTGTATATACAGAGAGAAAGCAAACATGGTGAAAGGTTAACAGCTGATGACTGGCAGGTGAAGTGTATATGGGTGTTCACTGCACGATTTTTTTTTTTCAATTTGTCTATAAGTTTGAAGTTTTTTTTTTTTTTTTAAAGAAAGAGTTACGGGACAACTAAAGCCAAGAGTTTTAATTTAGTACTAGGCCTATTTATGCCCCCATGACTAGCTTTCAATTTAACATCTAGCTCAGTATTTGTTATCTCAAGACCATACACCAGTCATGACATATACTCCCATATGTACAATCCATGTAAAACAGTTCTAAGTTCACTCAGCATTAGGGTATGTATAAAAATAATCAAGCTTGGAAATCCTTAATCAAATCCTTAGAGAAGATATTCCCTTAAAGTAGGCGCTAAAGAGATAACCGCTCTAAGTTTTAAGGCAACACAGTACCTGAGAATGTTAACCATAAGTAAATACCTTCTAAATTTTTCTCTTCTCACCAGTTATACTTACTACTGGTTGACGCTCATGCAATGGATCTTATTTCTAAATTACTACTCATCATTTTGCAATGCAATATTGGGGACGGTCCTCTCTACCCTTAACCTAAACAACTACAATTCCCTAAATCCAAACACGCACATCGCATTACACAAAAACTAGAAAAAAAAGTTGGCAAGCTACATTAACCCACTATTATCCCCTTAGTTCCTTTCTTGTTTAAAAAAAAATGGTGCTCGCATAGACTAACAAATGGTTTTGGTGCAACCGTGAGACAATTCTATATTGACAAATGGATCTTAAGTGAAGACGAGAGCGGGTGTGCATCTTCCTGTGAAATCCTGGGGGCGTCAGGAATGCCCCAACCACAGAGACAGAGCACGGCCGACTGCGACCGGCCACGAGCGGACAGAAGCATAGGAAACCGCGACAGGCGGCAAGTACTGCCAGGGTCGCTGAGGCGCGCGGGATCCCGGGCCCCGCGCAGCTCGCCCCCCGCCCCTCCCCTCCGCTACCCGCACAGCCTCTCCTGCCCCTCCCCGCCCGTCTCCCTCAAGTCTCCACGAACGGAAATGGGAGTCACAGCGCCGGGGACCAGCGGAAACAAAACACAGAGGCGGCCGCGGGGGGGCCGCTGTGGGGGAAAAGGCCCCGGAACGAGGCCGGCCCGCGCGGGCCCGCGCTCCCCTCCTCCCCCGCGGCCGCACTCACCCGCTCCGGAATGGGCCCTGTCGCCCTCGCCCGCGCTCCAGAGCCGCCCGAGAACGGCAGCAGCGCGGGCTCCACGTGCAGCCTCTCTCCGGGTAAGACCTGAAGCTCCCGCGACTCGAAGTGTGAGGTTCCTGGGCCCTTCCCGCGGAATAGGCGCTGAGAAACCCCGAGCCCTCTCCCGCCTCCCAGGCACCCCCGGGTTCAGGACTACAACTCCCAGCAGGGCATGCGAAGCGAACGCCCGAGGCAACGGAGGCCCGCGAGGCACAACACCCCAATCCAACTTGTTTTACACTTTTTCACTTTCCCTGCACTATATACATCTCAACAACCTCAAGAAACAGGACACTGACTCGGAAGGGGGGGCTGGAACTGGGGTGAAAGGCCAAAGTGCGCATGCGTACAGAACAATGTTTCCAAGAGGAAAAAAGGTCAATTTAGGCGAAGGAAAGATGGCGGAGTCTTCGCCAGGGGACCCGGAAGCACTTACCCTCCACTTCCTCCTCCTGTTTGGCTTCTGTCTCACCTACAGCCGTCCGGTCGCAGACTGTCTCCGAGACGCTTCCTGTCCGGTGTGCGTCGAACGACTGAAATGGCCGCCCATAATGCATTGCGATGGCGGGTAGGCGGGGGGGGGGCGGAGCCAGGGCCGGAAGTACAACTGTGGCGGCGTCGGTGGCTCTGGCAGCTCGGGACTGAGTGCAAGGTGACTGGGACGGTAGCTAGACCGACTTGGCCCCTTGGGACTGCGATTCTGGGTTTCTTCACACAGCCGGGGCAGCCTGTAACCTCTTCCCTAGTAGGAGGAGAAAGCAGTCTGTGTGCCTGGCACCTTCGTGGCATGGCGCAGGGTCACGACCGAACTCCGCGCTTCTAGGCCTTGAAGTTTGCCATAGACCCAAAAATAAGATCGATAATACCTTCCCCGCAGGCGAACGTGGGAGGAAGGGAAGCTGGGGGGTCGTGAGTCTGAAGCTCGTTCGGGGCAGTCCAAGGTCAGGCAGGTGGGACTCTGCTGCCAAACCTGTCGGCGCCCAGGACACGCGGGAGAATCTTCTGAGCTATGCACTGGGCAGGTCGTGCACCATAAAAGAGAAAGAGGCAGTTAGTAATCCCAAAATTGTGCATCCCACCTAAAAATTGTGAGAGGGTGCCTAACATTTCGTTAGGCAGCTTTGTGGATTAGGTACTGAAGAGACAAATGAACTAGCCTTTGACTGGTCGGTCACTATAAATAGGCTACCCTTGCTATCTCCCATTGGTAAGGACTGCCAGGGCTGCAGTACCCTCTTGCTAATGCCTTTCCCATCCTTTTTGCGTTAGGTCCTTAACATAGGCTCAGCTAGTACTTGAATAAGTAATTTTATCGCATGTGGTATTACACCTATTTGTGTACTGATATGTCCTCGTGATGGTGGATTATGCACACTTATTATTAAATCAGAAAAATGAAAGGACGTGATGGAGGAGCAACAAGTTTTGATAAGGATTACGGGTTCATTTTTGGGGTGAGCGTAGGGTTTAGGTCATGAGAGCTGTAGAATATTATTATATGTTGTGAGGCTTCAGGAAAAAGATGTTATTTGGGAGTCATTGGTACTTAGGTAATAGAAAATGAATTTCACCCAAGTTGTTGTAGGAATGACGTCTTTGTGGTTAGCTTTAGAGCATATTAACTGTGAGGATGTGAGCAATTTAATAAACTTTCTTATAATATTATCATCTGTAAAGCAGGGGTAAGAACACCTTTCTGTAAACTCTTTAAGTTTCTTTTTTCAGAGTTACAAGGAGGGGATATATGAAGTAGTACTTTGCAAAATATGGAGGGCTGAACAGATGTTACATTACTGCTGGGTGTTAGGCATGTTCTTAAGTTTGCCAGAAGGGAAAGAACTTTGAGTTGGATGATGTTTTTTCACATATTTATGTTGATTCAATTCTCCTGTGTAATGTTGGACCAGGGTACTTAACCTCTATGCCTCAATTTATGTATGTATAAAGATGAAATGATACAGAGTACCTTATAAAGGCATTTGTTGTTGGCTTGTAGTCTTCTCAAGGGTTTTTTTTTTTTTTCCTGATGGAGTACAGGAATTCTTTCAGTTCTTCAATGGTTTACTTTCCTTCTCTCTAGTGAAGGATATCTTGCTGATCCTATGATTTCTTTGGGTAGTTTTTATTTGCTATTCCTGGGTTTGTCAATATTGGCACTATTGACATTTTTGGACTAGATAAGGTAGTTGTGAGGTGGGGGTGCTGTTACTATAAATATTTGGCAGCATCCCTGGTTTCTGCCCACTAGAGGCCAGTAGCAGTCAATCTAGTCAGACCAACCAAAAATGTCTTCAGACATTGCCATATGTTTCTTGGGAGATAAAATCTCCCCTTTCTTCCACTTTAAGAACCATTTTGTTACTCTAGTGTTTTCTAACTAGTGCTTCTCAAACTTTCATTGCGAAAGGCCATACAACCTGGTGGGTGCTTTTGAAGAATACAATGAAAATGAATTATTGGAAAAATGAGATGAAGGGGGAAAAATGAAACAAAACACACAGAATACAAATAATTTTTATTAAGTTCACAGCATAAAATAATTTTGTTGAATTGCTCTAAAAGCTTCTTAACTGCTTATTCCCAATTCTCTTCTCAATTCTCTATTACTATAGATTAGTAATGGTTTGTATACCACCACTGGACTTATCTATTATGACTTCTTGTAAGTCTGGTGTCGGGATGAGGATAATTATTAGTTTGGAGGAGGGCATGGGAAGCATGTTAGTATATTGGGACTACACTTTTAGGTTTAGAAATGCTACCAAGCCAAGTTGAGCACATGGTATGGGCCTGTAGACCCATCAGAAGGCTGAAGCAGGAGAATCACTTGAGCCCAGGAATTCAAAGCCAGCCTGGGGAACATTTGAGATCCTGTCTCAAAAAGAAGAAGAAATATCACCAGGCTGTATTTGTCACCATTTCAATTTAGGGATTGGTAAAACCCTTCAAATTTATAAACTTAAGTTTTAATCTGATGAAATTTTTCTATTAATTTGGAATATTTTTTGCATTTGATCATTAAATCACAAAACCAGGTCTAAAAAGAGATCATCCTCTAATAATCTACTGGAACTCTCTTTAAATTAGAAAAATAATATATTTTAGCTATTGTTAAATTTCATATTTTTAAAATTTAGACGTTCAGAGCTGGAGTTGTAGCTTGTCTAACATTGAAGGACCTTTGTTTGATCCCTAGCACCAGGGGAAAAAAGATCAGACTTTCATCTCCTTTGCAAATTCTGTTTCACTGATTAGGTCATGCTGTCTTATCTTACCTTCTGTTGTTACAGGGCTTACTTGTGCTGGTTTTTTTTTTTTTTTTTTCTTTTTCCCCCTCTTCTTTCTTTTGGATGATGATTTGGTTGTTACGGTGTTTTTAAATGACTAGAAACCTGCAGTTATCATAAGCAAAGCAGTTTCTTTCCCTGTAGGTCTGTGAAGTATGAATTTCCCGCTGTTTTCCCTAGCTACAGCATCTGCCTACAGTCTCTGCCTAGTTCCATTTTAGCCTTTTGAGGAATTGGAGAAACCTAGCCCATTCATTTGGGAGCAGGTTTTTTTTTCCTGCTGGTGGTAGGTAGTGTTTTAATAGTCTGCTTCTGTTATTTCCTCTGGTCCAAGGCTGTTAGAAAAAAAATCCCATCCCAGATTTTGTACTTTCTGCTGTAATGCTGGTAGAGCCTCAAGCTTGAATTCCTAACTGTTCCTAGGTCCTAGAGCCTTTTAGTAAGAAGCAAAAATCTCACAGTGTGAATTGAGAGGGGAAGGGAACTATGGTTAGGTTTAGACTGAGTTCTGTAACAATTAGCAGGATTAAACACCCACCATGTGATATATTTAGAAGTGTTTTGCAAGAAGTGCATTAACATTCTAATGCTTGTTTTTAGTACCATAGAATCACCATGGTTCTTCAGAGGCTCTTCAAGTTCTCCTCTGTCATTCGGTCTGCAGTCTCTGTCCATTTGAAGAGGAACATTGGTGTTACAGCAGTGGCATTTAATAAGGATCTTGATCCCATACAGAAACTCTTCGTGGACAAGATTAGAGAATATAAAACAAAGAGACAGTAAGTAGATAGGAAATCGACTGCAGTGTAAATATAACTATTCAAAATATCAAAGTTTTATGATTTGAGTCACAAACTGTCTTCTTTATAAGGAATCCCAGGAAGAAATCCATAAAGTCTATTGTCATTTAAAATATATTCTTACTGTAATGTCATTATTATGAACTGAGTCAACTCAGAAGTATGTAGAATCTTATAAATCATTTAGCAGCTATACTTGAGGAAAGCAAGTCCCTTTGACATCGATTAGCCTACTTGGAAGAAAACAAAGTATTCTGATTCTTGTGTCAGAGAATTATTCTGATTTTCATAGTCATATAGCTCTGGGAATGTCAAAGGACAAAAGACTAAAATGACATAAAAAAAAGTCCAAGAAAAGTTTGATTACAAAACCACACAGTTTTAGATATGCACTTTAGCCATCATCAGCCATTTTTCAAATCTTAGGAAAAATATCAATTTATAGTTCCATTTCTTTCATTTAGTTGTCTGCTGTTTGCAAAGTACAGGGTTATTTTAACTCTGGTGGGTAATACTGCATTTTTAAAATATTCTTTAATTAGGATAAAAAACTTTTAGACAAGTAAATACAACAAAAGGTAAATGGTTAGGTGCTTAGGGAGTGACATATTCTGTGTTTGGAAAGTTCATAGGAAGAAATCCTCCTTTCCATCTTGAGGCATTTGAAAGGCTTCTTGGGAGAGATCTTTTATACTGTCTTTGAGGACAGTGTTTGGGGTCATTCATCCCTCTTGAGAATCTTATGAATATCCTGAAGGTAAACATTGAAAGTCTTGATTGAAGGCTCTATTTAGAATTGTGCTGTTTGTTTTGGCTGCCATTATCATGTGGGACTATTAAAATTCTAATTTATTGCAGGTAAGTATAAATAAAAATTCAGTTCTTCAGTCATCTTATCCATATTTCTTGTGCTCAGGCTAGGAGTCTAGCTCAGTGCTAAAGCATTTTCCTAGCATGCATGAGGCCCTGGGTTTGATCCCCACCCAGCATTCTTAAAGAAAAATACATAATATCTTTCCTAATGATCAATATCTGTTCAGATATATGTGGATATTAAACAGATATAGAGCCTGTCTGGTATTACAGGAAGTTCTATTGAACAGTGCTGACTGAAAAGAAAATTGGGTCCATTAGAAGAAACATCATTATCGGGTTCTTAAGTTGGAGTTGTCTATATGTCTTTGTGGAATATCTTTTAACAGATTT